AGTTCAAGCACAAATATTGTTCCGCATGGTACAATCCACTTGATGCTTTAGGGCAAACTTCCTCTATGGCACGGACTTTTGCTCCGAAGAAGCCAAACCGCTAAATCCGTTGTATGAGTGCTAAAGGATCGAGTTGCTTGATTCCAGGAGTGTCTTGTTGCCAACCTTTCATTCATCACAAAGAGAACACCAAATCAACAAAACAGTAATTATTGTGCTGCCTCATGACATCATTGCAGCCGGTTGCTCTGGAATAGTTTTACTTGTCCCCGGCACAGTTGCTGCCATGCACTCCTGCTGTTGCACGCCTGCTGTTCAACGTGTTTGGTGGGATAGTTTTACTACTGAAGAAATACACATTCACATTCGCACATACTGCGTATCAGAGGAAAATTGATTCCTCTCATCCACCCCCCTCCCCAAACACACCCCTCAGCCTACCACTACATGTACGGCCAAATTAGGGTGATACACAAACCCGTGCATGTTTCATGGCTAAAATGAGTGTATGAATGTCCAGAATGCTGCCTTGCTGCTTTGTGCCGTCAAAATGGTGTGTGGGTTTTTTTGTAAAGAAAAAAATACAAGGCGTACATGGGTATGTATGAATGTGTGGGCGCATCCATTGTTAGATGCCTACACCTATCAGAACTACTTCGTTGTAGTGTCCTAGTAGTGTCCTAGTGGTGTGCGGCTCATACCCTGAGATTAGCAAGGTTATTCTCTGTATCTCTTCACTAGATGCACCAAAGATTCGTATGCTGAAAGCTGTTGAACTTGGAGACAGTCAGCAAGGAGCGATGGGTGTATATGCCATCGGAGAAGGAGTAAACTACGATGAGATAGACTTTACAATATGCTATACAGCATGGCAGACTACTAGGTGCACACCGTCCAGCGGTGTAAACAAAAATGTCACAATTGCACTACCTGGAACAAGCGTAACCGCATCATGGCAGCCCAAGCCTGCCAACTACACCAGCAACTGCATCGGTACAGCATCGTGGTACGTCTGCGGCTCCAAATCCACACTGCTCCAAGTTAACGCATCGATTACTCTAACGATATCCACCAAGTATGGTGGTTGTGCACAATCCCCCAGCCTAACGTTCAATCTTGCTGAGTACTTTGGCCCAGAGCAGCATTCATGCCAACAGCTCAACTCAAGTAAGTGATAGTTGTTATTTGGTATTGGAAGTGTGTATGGTGAACACTGTACAGGTTCTTTGTTCCTAGAGTGAGTCCGGTTAATACACAACCCCCGTTAGTAAATTCAAATCTGAAATCGCCGGGCGAAGCCACGATGGTGTATAAAACTGTTCACATGTCCGATTCAGGACCACCGAAAGCAGTTTTTGATAGGTCCGGCCATACCATAGCCTTTCATACAGTTTGTGCACTTCAAGTATGATACACAGTGCTGCCAAACCGTCTGATTTTTCGGACAGTGTCCGATTTTTGAAGGCTCTTCCGGAAACCGGTCCGAAAAGGGCAACGTCCGAAAAGCAGCCAAAATGTTGGAGATCATTACTTTCCTATGCAGAAGTCCTGTACTTTCACTTTTCAGCGCAACTGAAGGCACGCATCACTGTACATTTTGCTTCTAAAAGGGCTAGCGCTTGGCTGTGGAAGTGCAAAGTAACAATTACATGCCTGGATCAGGCTGGATGGGATGTAGACTGACAGTCTGTACAGAGTCAGTGTGCGACCACACTCATCATTACAAAATTCATGACAACTCTGGGGTTACCATGGCAACGAAGCGAATTTTCCTGGTGTTTTAGGCGATATTTTGAATTCTCTGTAAAGAATTTGCCGAGGAAAAATATTCGCACCATGTGGCCAGCCTTGGCGGTGAAGGGTGTCCGATTTTGGACGGAAATTATTTGGCAGCACTGGATATAGTGTGTATGATATAGTGTGTATGCTAAAGTGCATGGGCACACATACCCTCCTCAGCAGTAAACAGGTATTGGTGGACAACGAGTTGGTCCGGTGATAACCTGACCAACCGGACCAATTCTGGCAGGCCTGCGGTTACAAAAAATGCCCGTTAGTACATATAACTCGTTGCAACTACCCTCGACCTATGTCCCTGGAGTGCCGAACCCTCGGTATCAGATGATATTGTCCACGCAGGACAGATGTGTCAAAATACACATGACGAAGCCGAAAGGCACAATGTATTCCATCTAAATACGGTGTTTTGCATCTAAGGAACGGCCGTGTTGGGGATTTTCAATTATCTAGTAACGAGTTGAAGTGCTGATACTTTATGTTCGGTTGTTACATGTAAGAAGTAATCAGTGCTTCCTTCACCTTGAGTTGCAAATCCTGTTACAAGATAGGTCTTGTTATAAGATAACCTATGTGTTGGCCCAAAGGTCATCTACGGATGAGGCAGGACCTGTATCAGCAACCAGCAGAAGGTTCAGCGAGATGACTAGGGCCATTTCAGAAGCAATCTATTTCGATACCCAGAGATTAATTATAAATGGATTTGTGTTTCCTTGTGTACAGAGTCTTTATTCTCAAGAGCTCCTGGTTCTCTAACGGTGAGATCGAAGCATCACCTTCAATTCAGGAGACATGACCATAAGAATGGGAGTATTCCAAGGATCAACTTTGATGTGAGGGTAGTTGAAGACAACAGCAAAGATGATGTAATTGAAGTCACCTGCACTGAACATGCGTACTGGTTGCCGCTCAGTTTGAAGGTGGGTTTTCCCTGTGAACTGAAAATGATCAGAGTGTCGAACTTATTCAGTATTGCCGCGTATGGCACTTCAGGCATTTGACAGAATTTGTTCTGCTTTGTATTTCTGGTTCAATTCTTTGAATATTATGCTGCTTGTTTGAAGGTTCCATACCCAACAGTGCATCTCCCCCCCCCCCCCCCCCCCCTCTGTGTAACCATTTCAGAAGGATGTGGATTGGCCCAAAGTTTATGTAATCCCGCCTCCCAACATCACCATTAATGATTCGAAGATACTGAAGGCGCAGGATCAAGTTACGCTTAGGCTGGTTGCGTCAAAGATCCCCAGCGGCCTTACTGTGAGATGCGTCGTTAGGGATCCAGCCACTCGGAAATGGCGACGGACAGTAAAATTTTGTAAGTACACTTTTTCTTTTTTCTTTTTTTAGGCCTCTTTCACGGGCAAATTAACACAATGGTTTAAAATGCAATAAAACATACACTGGAGAAGAAATCAGAAAAATGCATGTGTAAAATAAAGAATTTCAAACCCCAAAAAAAACTCCATAATTATCATTTGTTTTATAATCAAATTCGGATGGAGAGCCAAGGATTGAAATTAAAAAAGTGGACCAAAAGTTTACAAGTTCCCGATTTGTCCAACACTAACGGTTATAAGCAGAATACTGTTGAGTCAAAAATGTGCAACAAATAGCACAAAACTGACTGATGAGATCATGACATTCAACGACCTGATGCTTAGCTACATCACGGAATGCGCAAACCAGCAGCCTTCCAACTTGGAAGGTTCTAAGTTATGAAGTAACGTAAGAAAGGGTGCTGATTTGCGCATTCTAGACGTGATGCAGCTAAGCATCAGGTCGTTGAATGTCATGATCTCATCAGTCAGTTTTGTGCTAATTGTTGCACATTTTTGACTCAACAGTATTCTGCTTATACCCGTTAGTGTTGGACAAAACGGATAACTTGTAAACTTTTGGTCCTCTTTTTTAATCTATAATTTTTAATCTATAATTCGTGAGTTCCCTTCGGGAACGGATACGATAATTTACTTTTTATTTTATTTTTTAAATCTATAATTAAGTGAGAAAGGGTTTGCTCCCCACACTGGAGCTCGCGCTATTCCGCCGACTTTACTTGACACTCGGCGGGATAGCGCGAGCTCCAGTGTGGGGAGCAAACCCTTTCTTACAAATCATCGCCGAAGTCGCAACCACTACTTCGTATAATTAAGTGTCCGAGTTTAAAAAGAACTCAATCAATAAACTCAATTCAAAAGGAGAAAAACAAGAACAAAACAAAAAAACATTGTGCTAATTAATAAGAACACCAATAACTTCATCCGGAAAATTCAAAAACAAAAATAAACAAATAGGCACTGTATAGAAGATGAGAAAATTACGTAACAAGGCGAGACTCAGCCACCACGACGGAACTATCCACAAAACGTTGGACACTGCTAGCTTACTGGCCCATCCATATTTGTCACAATGTCATTGCTGTGTGTTGGGGTTGGGGGGGGGGGGGGGGGAGGGGGGCTGTGGGAAATGGGGTTGGGGGGGGGGGGGGCTGGTACAGTGTATTAAATGGGTTTAAGTCAAAGTCACTACTATCACTCATGTGAGCATGGGGCTCTACGGAGGGGTGGGACCGTTCTGAGCCTGTCTAGACTTTGTTTGGCGATACTAAATTGCGATGATTATAGATGGCCCCATAGTTGTATTTTAATTGTAGAACCCCCGCCCATTCCCTCCACAATCCATTGTATGACACTTCAACGAAGTATAAGTAATTTAAAAGTTCACGAGGTGTTTGTCGTTCTAATAAGTATATTATACTCAAATACAGTTTTATTGATACCTTAACTCGCGCGATTAGATCCCTCTCTTGAATAGTGTCCTTTCTCGAATACCGCCCCAGTCTCTAAGAGCCAGTGAAAGAATAAAGCTCTCTTTTGAGTAGTGCCCCCCCCCCCCCAACTGGTAACTAAGCGCATGAGCAAGTTAGGTGCTATTTTGCTAATGGTCTTGTTCATGTCACTACACTGGTGGTTTCAGGATCAAAATCGCAGTTCTTGTTGCCATTTCTGTTGATTCGTGATAGTTTACAGTAAATTTTGGCCTCTGTTTTGCCTTGTTTTTATCCTGAATCATCAGCATCATCATTAGCATCACCATTCAAGCTCATTGTACAGTTATAATTTTCATAGTCGGGTTGTGGCGTAAAACTGGTAAGTTACCGTGTGTTTTGCTTCTCGTTGCGTGTTTCTGGCTTCCTCCTGCAGATCCGGTCCGTCAAAGCACCACACCTCCTCTGATTACAGACAGAAAGGTTTCAATATATGAGACCAGGGGCAACTCAATTGACCTAAGAGAGGAGACATCAGACGCCTCTACATCGACTCGATATACTCAAACAACATACGGTACTGAACCCGGAAGCAAGTTATACGTGAACATGGAACTTGTGTTTAGTATGCTAGCTAACGTTATATTCTTGACAATTATCTCCATTGGTGCAGCGAAGTATTGTGTGGCAAAACGCAAGAAAACGAAGAAGAAAAAGCTGTGTCAGTGCCACTTGGCATATGTTGACATTACGGCTTCAAACCCTGCTACTCGTGATGATGACAGTAGCCCTGGTGGCACTGATGATGCATCTGACGGCCAGCTGGCTGGTATTAATACTTCCTCTGATGTCAGACTACAGTCTGATGTGAGAACTCTCTCGCTGGACCATGGTAGTGATGACAATAAGGATCTCGATAATGACAGTGTTGATGATGATGACGATGATGACGATGTCTTTGACGTCGATGATGATGACGAACAGGTCTCTGGGGAAGAGGGAGAGGTAAGTTTGTTACTCCACACGATTGCCTATGTGATACTGTAAAGCGCTGTCTCTCGTTAGAATTCATTTTTCATTTTGTGCTAGGAACACAACTTGTCACACAAGTATTTTGCGTTGATTTCCAAACAGAGATTGTGAGCGTGCAAAAACTGTTATCTTTTCTCCCAATTATAATTAGGGGCAAGCTTGCATTTCCTCGCGATGTCTTACAAATTTCCTGCAAGTTACGCACAGAGTCCAACCATAGGTGTGTACTGATACAATAGTTGCGTTTGATCTGAGGTGCAAGGGAATTCTAGCTTATTCTGGACACTTGACTCGAGATCGGCGGCTAGAGTGATGAGGCCACATAGTACTGTATTCTCTTGGTTGGGATGTTAGATTTTGGAGAGGAATGTGTTTAAAGAAGAAGTCATAAATTAATCAGCCGGAATCAGTAGTATTAGTAGTAGTAGTAGTATTGGTAGTAGGAGGGATTGTTTTCTGCCCGTAAAAGTGGTTTGGGCAGTAGTAGGAGGGATGGCGGGGCCGTACTCCTCACGATTCCTGGCGACCCTTGCCGGTCGGCTCGCGGAGCGCAATAAACACATCCGGTATCCAAGCATTGTTAGTGCCTTGCGTGTTCGGCTGGCGTTCTGCATTCTTTTGCATTGTTTTTGCTTACTGCCATGGCTGGCTATCGCCCCCTCCCTCCATATTGGCCTATATTCCCTGGCCACGGGAAGATGAAATAAATAAATAAACAAATAATTCCTTCTCTTGATATACTAGTACTCTTCTCGGATTGCTTTCTCTCTTTCTTTCTTGATTTCTTGCTTTCTCTCTTCAATTACTTGTGTGCTTACCGTGGAGTTTCTTTCTGCCCGTGAAAGTGGTTTAGTCAGTAGGAGGGTGGGACACTCAGTTTGTTTTCGAATGAAGGCAAAGTTCAGTAGCAGGGTGGGAGCAAACAACTTCCTTAGTAACAGCAGTTTTATATTTTATTTCACTAGGGTAGTCCCAATAGGCTACCGCCAATTTCCTGGGAAGCCTATGTGAAGCTTAACCATGTGGAGGAACAGGGCAGGAAACTGGGTCTGTCGGCAGTCAACTGGAAGACCATTCCGTCCGCTTGCCACCTGAAAAGGGATAGGGTGCACGCCATACTGCGTAGAAACTAAATATTGCTTGTAAGAGCATTGGTATTGTGTCAAAAACACAGACCGTCTAGTGAACTCTAAGAAAAATACAGTAAAACCTGTCAAGGTGACCACTCGGATAAGGCGACCACCTGTGCTAGAAGACCACTGAAACCAGGTCTAAGGGATGATATCTCCAGTCGAATGACTCTGGTAAAAGAGACCACCTGGTAACGGAGACCACGTTTTGAAGGTCCCTTGAGCGGTCGTCTTAGACAGGTTTCACTGCAATGTTCTTGTCGGAATGCAGTGGCACTTCACAGTGCTAATGATGTCACGCACAATTGTTATGTTTGCTTGCAGGTTTCATCGAGCGAGACTACATCACAAACCATGATACTGAACATCAAAGACGTTGAGGAGTATCTTGTAGATATCAATCTTATCCAGATTGAGAAAGAGATTGGCCATGGTGCTTTTGGAGTTGTTCACCGAGGTGTTGTGCAATCTGATAGCGGTGTGCTTGGAGTGGGAGATGAAGTAGCTCTAAAACTGACCAAAGGTAAACTACCCCGCATGATGCCTTTGTGGCATTCACTCTGTGTGCATGCCAGATAGTGATTACTTGTGGTAACCACTGCTGCTGATCCTGCTGCTGTTGCTGTTGTTGATGCTGATGCTGATGCTAACAATACTGCTTCTTCTGCGGGCATCACTGCTGCAGTAGATCATGCTGCTGCCACTTTTGCTGCACTCAGTGTTGCCATGGTTGCTGCTGTTGTAGTTGCTACCAGAAACCAGTCAGTGATAAAGGTTTGTGCAGCAATGTGTGTAGTGGGACTGCAGAAGAGCCTACTCGCTCTAGTCCTATGATGCTTCAAGTGCTAATGCATATCTGTGCATGCAGTAATCCCGTTTGTGTATTCTTCATAATGATCATGATTTCTGCGGGTGTGGCGTTTCATACATTGTTGCCGCCTCTGTTTGAAAGATGAAATACATGTACATCGAATAGGGGGTGTTTCTTCTTTTTAAATTGCTCTTTTTACAGACAATTCCCATGTGTCATCCACCGTTGAGTTATTGAAAGAAGTCACTGCCTTGAAGGCCATTGGTCGCAAGCCCCATCCAAACGTGATGAGCATGTTAGGGCTCAGCTTTATGGAGGGTAAGCATCCACTTAATGTTGCTGTGGGTCAGCCCATCTTTGTGGCGTATGTCGGAGGATATTATTCATTTGACGTTCCTATGCTACACTAGCTGCTGGGGTAGATATCAATTATTTCATCCAACCACCAACGTTACCATTAAATAAGAAATAACATGGTACAGCAAAGAATGGTATTGGACTAACCAAATGCTGCAGTATCTCGTGGTGCTGGACATGTTAGTTTTGTGTTGCCCATTCTGCTACGTGGATACATGTTCTCTTTGACTGTAGCTCATGTTCTTGCTGCGGTGTCAACTGGTGCATCAATACTGTTTGTACTACCCCCCCCCCCCTCTCTCTGCAGAAACGCCTATCATCATACTGGAGTATGCTGCCCGGGGCAACCTGCTGAACACATTGCGCCAGCGTAGGGGTGCATCGGATCGCCTGAAGCGTCAGCTAAGAGAGCTGAGCAGCTTCACGTCTGACGACGGCTATAGCAGTACGCAGAAGGGACCGCGCAAGATCACCTACCATCGCTACACATGGCATACGTCTATGCCCAAGGCAGCTGACTTGCTCAGACCGGATCACGTCTACGAACTTGCCAGGCAGATCGCGCGTGGAATGGCATTCCTAGCATCACAGAAGGTACGAACTGAGTTGAGTGTCTGCAGCCATATAACATAACCTTGTTTCCTATAAGAAATCAGCAAATAGTGTCGGTTGGCTCAGAGCTATATCTGCCTTTCACTTGTGCTTTGGGGCAGAAGTGGAAAAGTGGAGTAGTATTATAACCAACTATTAACAACTATGCACACAATGAACACTGATGGTTTACTCTGTGTCTGTTGAGTTTCACTAGCCCATAACTTTAAAAATCAGTGCCTTTGAGTCGAGTATCAGCTATTGTGCCACTTTGTACCTTCCGCACTCTCCTGTAGGTGGTCCACTGTGACTTGGCGGCTCGTAATATCCTAGTGACGGCAGACTATACGCTGAAGATATCCGACTTTGGCCAGTCGCGAGCGGTCAGCAACACGCAGGGTGTCTACCAGAGAATGAGCAACAGGCAGATACCGATCAAGTGGCACGCCGTGGAGTCGCTACGCAGTGGCATGTACACGACAGCCAGTGACGTGTAAGAATTGCATCTGCATGTATGATAGCTTGGGGGGGGGGGGGGAGGGCCACGTTAATCAGTCCAGAGTTGAGAACGTTAGATCGCTGACACTTTTTTTTTATAAATTTTATTTGGAACACAGCCCTACCAAGAGACATGTGGAGACAAACACAAAACAAGACACAGGGGATGTAGACGACGTACCTATGTACAGGGAGCAACTCGACCGACCAGAGGTCTCGGCCTTAGCGTAACTTGTTTGGTTCAGGCCTGAAACCAGCTCCTGAGGCCGGGGGTGATGTGGCCCCAGGTCGGTGTAGGAATCACATCTTTTTGTTTCAGCTACACATTCCTCTACCAACAAATGTGCCACTAGCAAATTATCCTTCACAGAGCATAACGAACAGTTTCTGAGGGAGAGACTCAGCGAAAGGTGTGGGAGGATAGGCCTATTATTACTTTCGCATACCGTAGCCTAAGTTCATAGCACACTGAACATTCTATGAGTGCTGGAGTTGGTAAGAACTCAGTGCCACGGTCATGGCTGTGCACACCGTACCAATGGCACACAGCACTGGGGTATGCGGATGATCAGTAGAGCCTAGGCTACCCGCTGTTAGTCATGTCTGCCCTGAAAGAGCCAATGAAGATACTGCTGCGATTCCATATTCAAACTTCTTTTCGGAGATTCAGCATAGCACTTTGCATAGAATTGTCCTGGAAATGTTTTCAATCTTGCTCAGTTTTGTGTATTACCGTAAAGTACTGTCAGAGCGCCGCCTTTTCGCGAGAGCGCCCCGCCTTGTTTTTACAGCCAGGGAAAAGAATATCGTAATGCAACGAAGTGTGTACAGTGTGAGAACCATAGTGTACGAAGGTCACACTTATCCGGTTTTTGTGTGGAGCTCGTGTCCGCTCGAAGGTACGGATTGTCTGCACAACGTGCAATATGTGTACAAAGTTCGTGTTGTATGACCTACAGGCAGGACACCACCTCCACAATACGACCACGAAAGGACGAGATGGTGGGGCGCTCTGGCGGTACTTTACGGTAGTAGCAATTCGAATGCTATCATCACATGCAAACAGCCTTTTAATCATGCTGTTTTCTTGTGCATGTGTACATGGTTGCAGGTGGTCACTTGGTGTGGTTCTCTGGGAGATCGCTACACTAGGTAAGCAGTTCTTACCATTTCTGGCCGTCTTCTTTTAAAATACATTGCCTGGAGCTTGTTGCTGCGGATGTTGCACGGTGTGTTGTTACCTAGCTGTCCGTGTTTCATGCATGTAGGGTACTGTCACCGTCCCACTTGTGCATGATGCATGCATGTAGACCAGGGTTGCCTTTTCACGACGTGTTCATGATACATCCTCCTTCTCTTGTTGCTACTGCCGCTGCTTTGCGGCATGATATCTGCAGGCTGCACTCCATATCCGGAGATTGAAACCAAGAATCTCTATCCATGCATTGCGTCCGGCTATCGTATGGATGAACCCAGGGCGTGTCCGGAGGGCCTGTAAGTCACTCCTTCAGTCCAATGCACTCATGTTGAACTTGACAAAACAAAATGTCTCTACTGCATACTGCACCAATGCTGGGTCATGATTGACATCACCTCTGTCATTCCATAGAAGGGTTGACGGAAGAATTTGAATGGTTCGCAAGCTGGATGATATTGTTATAAATGCACTACCGTCGCTTGCGGTTCAATTTTCAGATAACCATGATCCTTTTTGTCTACATTGAAGTATCATCCTTATTAATTTTTAATAGCATTAGTGCCCTGCCCAGCTGTACATCAGTACCCTGTCCAGATGTACATGTTTGCCCTGCCCAGCTGTGCATTTTTGCCCTGCCCAGATGTATGTCAGTGCCCTGCCCAGATATTCATTTTCGCCCTGCCCAGCTGTACTGAATACTATGCTAAGTGCTCTGGTCTTCATATCTTTTCTCACGTCCAATTTACAGCTATGACATCATGGTTGAGTGTTGGAATGACACGCCGGATGACAGACCAAGTTTTGTAGAGCTGGTGGATGACCTGGAGGACCTGATGCAAGAGGAAGCGAAAGCTAATCGGGTAAGCATTTCACCGAGGGAGACACACATGTGGTCTGAACGCTCCTCAAGTGATGTATTTTCCGTCTTACGAAGACAAATCCATTTGTGTAGGAGACTTCTGATTTGGTGTATTGTTTACTCATATCGCCTGGATGAGACTAGCAGATGATTCTCTAAGTAAAAAGTTGAACAAGTTTGGTGACCTACAGAAGAGTGTTGGAAATGATTCATCCTGAACAGCACTGCACGCCTGGTAATGGTCATGGACTACCCCTCTGTTGTATATTTTATTTATAGTGGAAATCAAAACAGGCATAATGCCTAATAACATTGGACCCACTGTGAATAAAATTTTACTATTTCCCTTTAGTCGTGTACTGTGTGCATCAACTTCAAGCTATGATCATTCAACACGTTGTGTGTACCCGACTGCCAGCCGGCATGTGAGTGAGTATTGCTGTATGTTGTGTGTCCTCAATAGGGAGTGGAATACCTCAGCTTGGATCTGGCCGTCATAGCCAGGCCCAAGGCCCGCATATCCACTTGTAAGGAAGACGTACAGCCGCAAGAAACAGACTTATAACCAGTGCTTGCTTGACCACTCGCCTACTTCGAAGACACTACATGTATAATACTAGCACTGTCAGCTGCTGGCACAGCTGGCACAGCTGTCACAGGACATAGATATTTCCATTTCGACGTTCTCAACTATTATATGATGTAGCCCAGATAATCTTGAAGATGAATATACATCTACACATCTATTTCAAGTACTCTTTTACTCTTGACTGACGAAATAATCTTGAGATTACTTAATCCGTTATCGAATCCAACCCCACTCTACCAATGTTGACCCTGTAACATGACTTTCACAGTTTTTTAATGTCAGATTAGAAAATTATGGCGCAGGTCTTGCTGTGCATCGTCAACCATAGTCATGTCTGCGAGTGCTGATTCATAGACTCTATTATATAATAGTATGAACAGGTTGCATATTTCAAATGGTGAACGGTACTATTCGGCCAATAAAATGTAAAGAACTCTTCCTCTCCTCTCCTCCATGCACTCTCACAGCCGACTCATTGCTACCCTCGGTAGCCATCTACCTGCAACCCTTCCTTGTATGGCTGTTGGTGTGTGTAATGGCTACCGAGGGTAGCAGTGAGTCGGCTGTGAGAGCGCATGGAGGAGAGGAAGAGGTTGCATATTGCCCACATAAACAAATCATACGGGGTCATGCATCTGTCAATGATCGTTAACCAGAGTTGCTGGTTGGCGGCGAGGTTTAGGCATTCGTGAATCAGCACATTCAGAGGCTTGAGGTCTTCTTTGATGTTGTCGACCCCTCTCTTGTGGGGTGGTCCACGCCGGGGGCGTATAGCGCGTCGACTCTATGCTGATTGTTTCAATAAAATACAGTGATGCTTAGTTGAGTCTTATTACAAGAGTCAATGTCACCTTGGGCGCTCAGTGTGCGTCCCCGGACCTACAAGCACCGGGCTATGTGCTGGCGGTGCGGGGTGCACACGAAACCGTGCAGCAGACATCTCTCGTTGGACACGTCTTCAAGTTTCGTGAACCGTTAATCGTAGGAGGAAGACATTTTCAACATTTTATTCAGTGGTGCAGAGAAAGGAATGAAATTGCAATGCCAATCGAAACTGGACAACGACGAAACAACGATCCGTTCACTTTGATAAAGTCATTATGTGAATATGACTGCTAGGAGAGCTATACATTATTCACATGTACCTGCTGATCTGATTGCTAGGAAATGACTTCTTTGTTTACTGGTCAGTTCATGGACAAAATCGATCAGAATGTGTAAGAACAGCTTGCCTGTCAACAGTGCTGCATGTAGATGTATGGTTGCCATGGGCACCCAGTGTCATAGCAACCTGTCAGCACCCTCTACAGGCTGTAAGACTTAGTCATTCTATGCATAAGCGACTACGTTGATAGGACGATGGTACAGGAGGAAATGATTTTAAATGTCGCTAGTCTTAGCGGACAAAACAAACACAGTTGAATGTCGAAAGCAGGCTTAACTTGAAGATAGTCTTAGAATTGATGTCTGGAAGTATATATATATTGTGGTCTTGAAGGCATAATGAGTACAATGTAAAAGAGCCCCGAGTGCGTTCTCTGTCAATAGCAGAGCATCAACACTGGCACTCTAAGGAGAACTATGCCTCATCGCATGCCAAATTATTGTAGCCGGCTCCATTGCACAACTACTCCAGCTACTAGTAATCCCAGTACAAATGCAGAAAGTACAGTCGCCTGTGAATGTGTGGTCTTGCTTTTGTCATCAGCACTGGCCTGAGATTGAGAATCGAGTCTAGGCATACAGTAAATCAGTACAAAAACACATGTATACACACACGCACACACACCATGACATATACACACATGTGCACGCACACATACACACACACACACACACACAGGCACATGAACACGCACAGAGAGACAGACACACACACGCACAGCATAGTGCCAAAGCTCCTATACAGAACCTAACAACCCTGCACCGGTACGATGTGTAGACGATCATCACTTTAAAGTTACATGTATGTTAAATGCATAACGTGTCATACATTTCATTTGGCCCTTTTTCTACAACGGGTTTTCATTTGAGTGAAGGTTCTTGAACACAAGCAAGAATGAATGGAACAGTGCATGCGCCTAATTCTGGATTTGTAACATTTGATGCATATAGTGGGGGGGGGGGGGGGTGGGAGAGGGAGAGAGGGGGGGGGGGGGGGGGAGAAGAGGGAGAGAGGGAGAAAGATACACAGAGAGACAGAGACAGGCGGACAGAGACACAGGAAGAAAATATCGATTGCAATCATAATGGCAGGGTAAAGACAAGGGAAAGCATGTTGAAAAGGTACTTCAAAGTATACACATTACCTGCTATCATTGATAGGTATTGGCTTGAAGGGCAACAGCTAGGACACAGAGGCAAAGAAACAGAGATACTAACTATCAGATATCAACTCAAGTACACAGATACGTAGGATGATGTGTTTCACACAGAGCAATGCAAGGCTCTCGCATTTGACAACTACGGCGAGAAAATGTCGATTTGATCCTCACCAAAGCACACAAACATCACATGACAATGTCATGTTTGTGTGCCAAGGCTATGGTATGTCAGAGTAGCAACCGCCATCCGGCTTGTGAGTCATCGTACTGATTGCTTTTCAAGTCGGGTGATGAAAGAATGCATGAGAAAAGTACTAATCAAGTAGTGTGCTTCACTGTCCGAAGAGTACTCAACACCCACATAGGGCACAGCCTTGTTTTGGAGCCATCAGTTGCCTGATGATGGTAGTAATACGTGAAAGTCAGAGTTGCGACACAGCTTCCAATCTCTCTTGTGAGAGAAGTACTAGCATGCTCGTGCTCCGAGACTCCATGCTTAGACTGAAGCATTAAAGAGCCCCGGTGAAGTAATGTGCATTTCCACTGACTACCTCTACAACAGCAACAACAACACGCAGGGCAGTTGCTATGATTGAAGTTCTTACGTGGAACTCTTGCCAGGTCATGTTAGTGTCATTCCTGAACCAGGCACGGCCGTCAACAGACTCTGTGACTATGAGCAGGTAGGAGACGTTGCCTTCGTTCGGCGGTTGCTTTCCGTATGGTGGTCTGTTCAGCAGAAGGGCCGTGGGCTGGTCGAAGGCATGCGCGATCACGCAGTAGTTGATCTCGCACGACTCGTCAATGTCAGCCAGGTGCTGAGCATAGCCGTGTGGACAGAGGTGCGGCCACGACTCCGGTCCGAGCCACAACCCATAGCCAACCTGGGCACCCCACACAGCCAGCAAACACACACAAAGACCATATTCTACAAAATAATCTACTTGCTGCAACAGATTGACAGATGCACGTTAGTCCTGTGCAGTCCTGTGCAGTCTGCTGGCAACACAGTATGCATTTACAGTCCATTTCAAAACTATAGACGCGTACCTAGGCAAAAACCGTTATGCCAGCTTCTATACCACATAAAATCTGTGATCACTTTGTGCATAAATTTTCCAAATTGGGCGTCTGTTATCCAATCGTTTAGAAACTATATAAGAGTAATTGTGGAGTGGACCTGAGCAATATTCCGAAAACTATTCTCAAAAAGTTCCAGCCAAATTTGAAATATTTCAAAAACACTGCGCGTCTAAAGTTTTGAAATGGACTGTAGGAAACTTTCTTCCCCGAAGAGGACCGCAAAAGGAACAACAAACCCGTGTCTGGGACAAGTTCTAACGTTGCAGGTGTATCCTGGGCTCCTCAAAAAGTACTTCTAGATACAGACCATAGATTTCAGAGTTTCTGTTTTTTTTTAGAGTGTGCCAGATTGGCTTTGCACATCCATTGGAACTCCGCCGTACTCTCACGGATCCAGCTGGATGCACATACAGCTCCTAGAGCAGTGCATGGTGAGTAGGTGCCTTCAAAGATCCAACTTGAATCACATCCGCTACATGCACAGCCCACTGCATGGGTGGTAGATGAAGAGCCAGTCAACTGCAATTCCCAGAGGCTACTAGTAAAGGCCAAACGACCATATTATTTCCACGCAGTCTTCGATTTTCAGGAGCACCTCTCCGTCATCCTACCTTGTCCAGAGGTGTTGCCTTTTCACTGGGGCTCGGCAGAATTGCCAGCGGATTGCCAACCTGACAGCTGAAAAACCCTGATAGCAACGAAAGCAATCGAGAGCAATGAATTTGACAAAGAAAAGAGAAGCAGATTAGCCAGGACAAAATCGGTTACAAGTACTTGTACCAAATGCTGTAGACAGCAAGCTGTTTGGGCCGCCATACATGTGTGACATTGTAAAGTACGTGTAGGTCCTGGGTACCTGGGCAAGCAGGTACAGTACTTTCTGGAGTACAAGTTCAACTTTCCCTCTCAAAACACCTGCCACGACTTCAAGTGTCCGTCCTGCAACTCTGAAGCTTCGACACAGTACAGAGAAATTCAATTTTAAATGTAGTGTTTGCCTCGGTGAAGTGGGGTAACCTTTAACTGTTACAGTGAAAGTGCAGCAGTCCAGTAGACTATGGGTACATAACACGAAGTACAGGCTTCTCCGGCACACAGCCTGGACTCTACACATACACCAAACAGTGGGTGTAGCCTGCACAGTGCAAATACATCAAGAAACTACTGCATTCCACAGGAACTCTGAATGGTATCTGAAGTTCGAGGAAAACTGGAGTCAGACCAGCTGCTCAGAAGCTGTATCCGTGAAGATTCCCACAAAGGTAGTCACCAGGCAAACACATCACCGTGATCATGAGCCTAGTTTTGTAAGACCAGTAATGTTAACGAAAAATTTATAGGATCAGTCAGGGAAGTGAACTGCCTGAAAAGAGAAGAAAAAAACGCCAGACCCACCAGGACTCGAACCTGGGACCTTGCTTGTCATGAGCAATGCTCCAACCGCTGAGCTATGGGACCAGGCTGAACCTAGAAGGTGCTGACAAGTGTTTCACTCCAAAGGCAGCTCACAACACGTGCCACACATACTGATGGCACTTGGGTCTTTTTCCCTCCCCCAGGGGGCCAACCACGGTCAGTTTCTGGAAACTACCAGAGGCACGGTGAAAGAGAGTGATTAATTTTTGAAAGGATTGGGAGAACTTCAAATTCAAAGGATCAGTCAGGGAAGTGACTCAGGCAGTTCACTTCCCTGACTGATCCTTTGAATTTGAAGTTCTCCCAATCCTTTCAAGAAAAATTAATGCTAACGATTTAACGAATTTGAAAAATTCGTTTTTACATTTGAAGTCGTTACGTGCAAAACGATATGTACATGTACAGACATTTTCCGATTCTGAGACAGAATTCGTTTGAACTTCACCTCGCTAACCCACAAAAGTCGGGAGATTGCTAACATTGATTGACGTTAAAATATCTGGTCTTACAGTGCTTGTAACTACTGGTTCCAAACTTAGAAGCTGGTTTATCACCACTGTCCACGTGTGTCTTTTATTAATTTTCATAAGATCAAATGAGCAGTGCTCCTCTAGGCTCTAGAATTAAGTACTAGGAAGCATACCGGCAAAAGGCACAGAGAAGGCAGCTCCACGTTCATAATCGTTGCTAACGCAGACTTTGAGGTCGTGGCCCATGAGTAGAGGAATGAAGAATTGTGGACAGCTTTGACCACTCGACACAGGATTCGGTGTGCTGTTGCTGTAAACACCTCCGAAGAGAAAGCCGTGTTGTTTCGGCACCTTCCCCGTGGCGACACACCAGTACGTCTGATAGGTAGCGGTGGCCGACACACCCCGGCTGTGACATACCTGTATGCCAACAAAAACAGATAGTGACCATAAAGGATGAAGCAGTGCTGGTGAGGTGTTAGGTCACCGAATGTCTCAGTACTCCTTGTCAGTTTTGTGCCATTTTGTCGCACTCGCTGACTGTATAAGATCTGGTTACATTGGTGGACAGTTAGTCATAACTCGTAACATTTTGTCCTTCTCCTTTTTCACCCGTGCTGTTGTCTTCATACTGACTAAATGCGAGCCTGCCAGCTACACACAGGTAAGGCTGTCCAGGTGGCTTACATAGTGTTCAATGCCACACAGCTCTACAGGACTGTCTACACACTGGGAGCAGAATGGGAGGAGATATACCCATGTATTGTGGTGGCAGTGTCATGCTTAGAATGGGAGGAGATATATCCATGTATTGTGGTGGCAGAGTTATGCTTAGGTGATTGTCAAACAACAATACTAACCACTGGCACTGGATGATGGGTGGCACCTGAACTAAAACACGGAAACTGAAGTTCCCTTGCCTGCTAGCTTGGACATGAGCTTAGCTGTGACCATGGCTACAGCCTCTGTGGATGTAACTGTAACCATAGAATGATACTGTATGCATGGTGTAAACATAACTGCAACCATGGTTACACACACTGTGCATGTCACTGTAACCATGGTTACACACACTGTGCATGTCACTGTAACCATGAATGCACATGCCTTGATGCAACTGCAACCATAGTTACACACGTTGCAGATGTCTGAATTGCCAACACTCTTGGTGCTAACAATCAATACTAGTAGTGATAGTGACTGCGTTGTTCTTACACCCGGTGACTTCAATAGCTGTCATAAGTTGCATTCTACACATCACTGCATGTGTCACGGTTTACTCACACCTTCATGATGTGCTACATTCACACTGCTGTATGTTATAGTCTCTTGTTACTCCAGTAATCATCACATTCTGGCCAGCTCCCTACACAACTCACGTTCAAACTTTAGGCTGTGTGTTGCTTAAGAACTTTCAAACCGGATCGAGTTCAACCCGGCTTGAAAGTCTGGATGGTGGAAAATAGGTGGGTGATGCTATACATGTGCATTAAGAGGGATGATGCAGGGAGATTCCTGATTTGCCACCAGAAGTCAATTTCTGGAGTCCTGTTTGGTCTAGTGACAATAGAGCGGGAACTCCCTCCTCCCCCCCCCCCCCCCACTCTTGGTGCATCTAGGTGGCCATGAAGTTGAGACCTTAGGTCGGCGGAGCTCCCTAAACCTCACCACCACTGCCACGATTCAGGTTGTGCGTGCTTCCCATAGCTGCATCTCATGGAAGGTTGGCTCGATCCGGGTCGAACTCTGGGTCCAGAATATGTAATGCAAGGCACACGGCCTGCTGCAATCTGAATGAGGGGTGGGGTGGGGGTGGGGGGTACTACCTAAACTCCCAGTACTTACACGTTTGTAGCAAGTATCTATTCCCCAGAAGCCGCAGTCATACGAATGGATGTGGCAGGATGGAACCGTCCAAGACTCCGTGTAAGTGCCTTCGTGCAGGTACACTGGTTCATAGTACAATGGACAGGAGAAGTCGCCTGTGAAGAGGGAACAACACATGTGCATGCAGCCAGCCAGAATGGTTCATGGCCTTCATGAACAATATGTATTTACAGGTTACTACATACATTGCAGTGGCATGGAGAGCTTTATGGTTTGTTACTTCCCGACAGGTTGGCCCGAGGACTGTAGGCCCGACGGCTAACGCGGAGGGCACTAACAAGCCATTCATCGCCCTTGCTCGAAAATTGGCAACCGATGTTTCTGCTAAAAAAGCAATGAAATTTGCAGTGCCATATAAACCCTGGCACTTCCTTGAATCCCCTCTATTTTGTTTATCTACATACCAAGCATACATTAAACGTACCAGAACGTGCCGGCATTAAATATCCGTCAAAGGTTACGATCAGGTCCAAACTGTCATGCACAAGCTATTCCAGAACAAGATTACTATAGCATTGCCGTATTTTTCCGGTTGTAAGTCGACCTTTTACGATTAAAAATAGAAGGAGAAAGGGTGGGGTCGACTTACAACCAGGATTCGACTTATAACCGGGAACTATCAGTATCTTACAAAAAATGACCTGCACTGTATGCACGAGTGCATCATGTGTACACATTTTTGCCAGTTTATTGGCCTTTTTCAAGGATTGGGACGTTATACCCTCCACTAAGGGATGTTCACATGATTTGTTAATGGGTTAGTAGCAGGGAGTGGTTAGTAGTTCTTCTTTGGGTGAAAACTTGAAAACGCAGAATTGAGACCTCCGAATACGGGGGTCGACCTATAACCGGGGTCGACTTACAACCGGTAAAATACGGTATACCTTAATCACGCTGCTTGTCACAAAACGGGCATCACTGATGCGTCTGCCTCCAAAGTTCATGATGTGGATACCAAGTACAAGTATCCTTTGCCAAAGTATAGCTATGATGGTAAGGACCTCGGGGAAACAGAATACTGTGACCTCGGTGTATGTGAGTGTTGCGGGAGAATCCAAGTCAGCTGGAGGGCAGTTCACTCATTGTTACAATGTGCATGCTACATTGATTCGCCAGGAGTGGTGGAAGCAGTGTTTTGATTGGTGCAGGCATACTATAGCCATTCATACCTACTGAGGTGTTGCGAATTCGGTGGTAGTTGTAGAGTGACAAGGTGGCTGCTCCAAACAATGGAGCTCGCATTTCCTGCCAGTCAGTCAAGTGCCAGTCAGTCAAGTGCCAGTCAGTCAAGTGTCAGTCAGTCAAGTGTCAGTTAGTCGGCAGAAAACAGTCATACCTAGTGTATGCTATTGTGGGTATGCAATGCATGAACTCATTACTAGCAATAAATACATGCCGGTGGCCTAAATGTTGGCCTGGCCACGAGCTGGTCAAGCGGACTGGTTCTGCCGGGCCTTGTCTGCATGCACGTTGCACGACTCACCAGATAATGGATTCTTTTGCAAGAAACGTGGGCACAAGTCGCGGTTGTAGGAGTATGTAGAGGAGCAGTTCTGGAATACGCCTGCAAACGTGTAGTTGTTGGATGCATTCTTGCAGAGCGATGCTTCGCCAGAGTTTGCCTTACGTGACATACAGGAAAATTCACAAACACAAGTCTAATTAAGTCTGAATCCCCACATACTGTGTGTTGTACTCCTTGTATCACTAAGTGACTCATGAGAGTGCAAGTTTGAGAAGCGCTGAACTCTAGTGTAAAGTAAGACTGTGGTTATGCTGCAGAGGAAACAATACATACTTTAAAGGCATGCACAGCCGTGCACATTGGTTTGGCAAACACACACACATAGCTGTGGTGAGCTTGTTATGCTTGTAGACGCAGTAAGAGATTCCGTGAGAGATTTCACGCGTTCGTGGAATACCAGCAACAATGTGACATAGAACCGTTAGGATACCTACGTTTTCTAAAAATCGGGCAGAGCGGCCAACCTAAATGTCCTGCTAAAAGTTGAGCATAGTTCACCCATAGTTGTGCCTACGTTGCAGCTTTCTTATACGTCTAGACCTATGTTTTTCAGAATTTTCGTAGTTTGGAGAGTTACATCTTTCCCTGTATTCGGAATGTAGGTAGCAATATCGTATGCATCACATGAAGTAACCACCTGTGGACTATGAAGCCTGTAATAATCAATATGACTCTCCTGAGGTGACATCTCAGTGTGCTGTGTGCTGTTGTTCCTTGCTGTGTGCTGTTGTTCCTCGCTGTGTGCAGTGTGGACATTCTCATGCATGTTTACTTGTCTGCTTGTCTGTGTCATGAATGATCATTAGTTCATTACCTCCTAGCATGACGTTATTGCGCGCCAAATACGGTTTACCGTGTGCATGCGCGCGCTCGTGCGCGCGCGCCAATGATGTTGACAATGCTAAGCTTGCATGCGTGACAAGTGGTTCTAGTAGTGGCAGTTGGGAGAGACATGAGGTTCTTGATGGTTTGATCAAGGTGTTCCCGGTTGGCGGTTTTTTGCTCTTTACTCTAACTTTAGTCTAAGCCTTTATCGTAACTATTCATTACAACCCAGAGCCGTGTGTGTTGGCTGGTCTGCCACGAGGTTGTGTGCGGGGGTAGTTGGGAGAGAGAGAGAGAGTGTGTGACTATTACAAGCCGCTGCCAGTATTTAATAAGCTAAGCGCTTGTTGACTCTTTACAACATCTTTCGGCAGGCTCTGATACATTGCTCTCATAATTATACCTACCATTTTATGTTATTAAGTATTAAATTTTATATTCATTAAATACATTCACTGGGTTGCAATCAGCGAACAACGACCCTTAGAGGTTTCGCAATATCGCTAAGCAAAAATGTCAATTTCTGACGTGTGTACTACAATGGAATTCCCGATTTCGGCGTACATATAATTGTGCAAGATTGTGGATGCTTGGCAGCCCTGATCAGATTGTTCATTCATACAAGCAACAAGCATGATACTGCTGCTGTTGCTGCTATCATCGTTTACCTTATAGTTGAAGCTTGGTGAGTTGACGTCGGTGCAACCTCTGTGCGTGTTGCGGGTCATATATTCCCTTGATGCAGTCGCCAGCCTTGACGCAATCTGTGCATACGTGAGTAAGCGAGAGAGAGAGAGAGAGAGAGAGAGAGAGAGAGAGAGAGAGAGAGAGAGAGAGAGAGAGAGAGAGAGAGAGAGATGGCGTTGTAGAAGACGAGAAATTAAGCTGAACAGTTGCATTCCTGATAAGCCATGGATTGGATAGGACACACATGGAGTGGTGTGTTATCTTGTCACAGCTCAGATAACGGTGGAACAAGACTGCCATACACAAAATACACCAATGCCCACGCAATGAAGCACAAGGGTTCTAGAATACCCAATCTGCTACTCATAGTACATGTATCTGCTATCTGTGGGGTTTTAGGGGGCGTTCGAATTGTCTTCATCAACTGCTCGAACAAATTGTTAAAGGGGAAGTTAAGGCAAAAATTTAAATTTCACCAGTTGTAGTCTTCGGGGTGCTGAGTCGAATGGTCTTGGTCCGAGGAAGCTGAGACGCTCCCTTCCTACTTGAATCCCAATCGAACTCGCGCACTTCCACCGAAACTGGGTGACTGCGCCCTTCTAGATGGGGATTTGTATGCAAAATCTCACTAAAAGCGTCATTTCGTTCTTATAAAAGCACGGATGACCGCGATTGGCCCATATGTTGTAGTCTTTTGGACGCTGAGTCGATTGGTTTTGGTCCGAAAAGGCTGCGATGCAGCGTTCCTCCTTTATTCCCAATCGAACATGGCTGAACAAGTGGTCACGTGCTCCTGGGTGCCCAAATCATCTGGTCACCACGCCAGCAGGCGACAACTTTCACACCAAGGTTCAACTCAAGTGACAGGACTGCACCCAAAAAAGGTCAAACAGGCTAGTAAGTTGTACCCTGCAGGCACGGTGACCAGGTGACTGGTGTACGCATTAGCACGTGACCGCTTGTTCAACCATGTTCGATTGGGAATAAAGGAGGAACGCCGTATCGCAGCCTTTTCGGACCAAAACCAGTCGACTCAGCGTCCAAAAGACTACAACATATGGGCCAATCGCGGTCATCCGTGCTTTTATAAGAATGAAATGGCGCTTTTAGTGACATTTTGCATACAAATCCCCATCTAGTAGGGCGCAGTCACCCAGTTTCGGTGGAAGTGCGCGAGTTCGATTGGGATTCAAGTAGGAAGGGAGCGTCTCAGCTTCCTCGGACCACGACCATTCGACTCAGCACCCCGAAGACTACAACTGGTGAAATTTTATTTTTTGCCTTAACTTCCCCTTTAAAGGAGATTAGTTGAGGTGTCCCAATAGAACGGTTTCTATCATTTTAGAGTTTTTCAGAGGAATTGTCATGGGTATAATGACGTCCGATCGGATCGACCATCTCTACGTACCGACTCCGAACTCTTCGGAACTAATCCACCTCTCCCATCGGATGAGGTGGAGTTTCGAGGAGTTTCGTTTTTCTGAAGAGGCCAATAGGCCACCTCTTCAGAAAATCGAAACTCCTCGAAAAGTCAAAGAGTGACAATTCGAACGCGCCCTGTAAAGTGGCATGATGCTGTACGGGAAACGTTGCAGCATTCCCATTTGAAGTTTACTTTCTCCATGCTCAATATGTCCTTCTCTCAGGCTATCAACAGCTATCCCCACCTCAATGACTGTAGGTGCAGGAAGCTCTGGCAGTGCAGCTGAGGTGATCATAAACTCGATTGGGTCACCCTGCTTGTCCACCGCGACCAAGTTGTTCATCAGACCTTGTTCCCAGTCATTCACAGAGAGACCAGGTGCATACGGAGGCCCGCCGAATGTTCTGCACATAAACACATGGCACATTAATTAAAGAGACTGAGCAGCCTGTTAGCTTTTTAGGCTCACTACCGGTGCAAAGTCAAAGACCGGCGCATGCCCAATCTCTGGACAGGTAGCTGTGTCCATCTTTTAAGGTCTCCTTGGCGAAGGTCATAGCATACCGCTTGTCACACACTCTCCTTGGCGGAGGTCATAGCATACCGCTTATCACACACAGACTGAACATTATGGATTTGGACAAATTACAAACGTACCAGGACTGAACAACACATACTTCTCACTAGCACTAGCACTACAATGAACGTTGAACACCTTCACATAATATTCACCTTGTTGTCGACTGAGTCCTGTTGGCCTGGAAGTTTTGAATCTCCTCGTTGCTAACGGTGTAATTGAACTGGAAGCCGATTGATATCATAAATCCGGCGGAGGCAGATGCCTTCACTGATGCTTCAGTTTGCGACTTGCTCTCGACAAACTTATTTGTGACCTTAGATGCAGAACGAATGGAGGAACAAATTAATTGATGAACAAGTGGAAAGTAGCTGCTTGCCCTCATGTTATCAAGTACTGTGGAGGAAATTCATAACTATTGAATTCAGAAACTGGTGCTAGCAGAATTCCTACTTCTACAGTCAAATCTGCCGTTAGCGACCTCTGCTGTAGGCGACCATCTACCGTTAGCGACCGATTTTCAGTGCACCGACGGTTTCACATACAAACTGATCTGTCCAGAGCGACCATCTGCAGTGCGCGACCAGCGACCGCGATTTCATGCACGGTGGCTGCATTCAAATCTGCTGTAAGCGACCGCGACCCAGGTTCAGTCAGGTGCGAAACTGTACTTGCCAGTGCGCTGTCAACTGCAAAGTGTGAAAATGCGCTGTCTTGCAAGTGCGATCGACTGGCGCCTGGCCTGTACTGAGGCTGTGCTGTAGCTCTCAAGTCCAGGCAGTGTCGATCCACTGCCGTGTCGCATACGCGTAATACGGGTATGGTCGTCGTTGAATATCCAATAAAATGATATTAAAAATCACATTATTCTCGTCGATTTGAGTACATAGAAGCATATACCTGGTATGCCGGATTTACCATACATCTGCCGTAAGAGACCATCTGCCGTAAGCGACCGCTTTTTCTTGCACCAAGGGGCGGTCGCTTACGACAGATTTGACTGTACCATCATAATGCTATTGGTTATTCTTTTTAGAGATTTTTAGAGCTGTACTATCAAGTTGTGCCTGTGCAGGCTTTTGTGAACAAATTCCTCAGATTCTCTGAGTAAAGCAAATAATTACCAGAGAAGCAAACGTACAGTCCATTTCAAAAAGATTAACATTCAGGTTGTGGTCTGAAAAAGCATGAAGATAAGGGAAATTCGGACAACAAAGTACATAGAAGGACTAGCTTGTTAGGGGGAGAGAGTATGTTTTGCACATGCCTGTTGACATGAAATATCACCCACCTGGGTTTCCTGGGTGAATGCTCCGCCGACTATAACCGATCTGATCATGTACGTTCCATAGTCTCTGATAATCAGCTGTAGCTCATAGTCAGCCATGCGTGATTGGTTATTGTGGATCATGTCGGCAATCAGAAGCAGACGCTGCTTCAGTGCAGGGGCCAGAGTTGCATCCGGCTTGATATCCACCTCATATATCTGGTGTCGCAGTGACGCACGCGTGGTCGTGGATTTACTCTTGACCTACCAAGCGTACAAGTCACAAGATCATATGTGTCTATTTAATTACAAAACAGCATTTTTGCCACTACAGTAAGACCTCGCATAACCGCACACGTCCGTTTTTCACAAAAATATCCAGATAGGAGAGGGAACCGGATAATCGAACACACATACTGTATGTATGCACGGCATATGCTGTAAATCGGTAACCAGCGATTTTCGTCCTTATGGCGAGGGATCCGGATAAAAGAGGACCGGATAAGCGAGGTCTGACTGTATACCAAACCAAGATCTGGAAGAGCATAATCTCGTAAAACCTCAATACAGACTGATAGACTATGGCAATCAGTGATGTAAAACCTCAATACAGACTGATAGACTATGGCAATCAGTGATGTGCCTAAAGATGCTCTGAAGAATCCAATTAGCCAAGACCTCACATGGTCTCTTGGTACATGTGCAGGCAAATCATCACCAAAGGAAACCATGTCTTTGGAAAACTGTTCATGGTCTGTCTTAGCCTGCTGGTGTTCTATGTTCAAATAACATTTACAAAGGCACTGTGTGAGAATGTGCATGCTGGTGGCTTGCATACAGAAAACAATTGATCCCTTGGGCCTAGTCATTACTATTGCACGTACATGTACTAGAATTTCTTCGAAGTCCAACAGCAGAAGGTGAGCCATGAGTCATTTTAAAAGTGCTGATCAGGTGACAGGACAAGCAAGCCCTGTGTTGGGAGCAGCCACTTTCTTCTTCTACTACACCTTAGGTGCAACATCTCAGTTTCATGACAGGATCTTGAGAACTGTACTATGCCATTGAAAGCACTATGCACTGAAAACACATGCCGACAGTGGACTGAATACACATGACAGTATCGGACTTTATACACATAACGACGTAGGACCGACCTGGTTAGCTTTGTTACTTTGATACTCCTCGGAGAAGCTCCCGCTTATCATTTCATAGGACACGTCCAGCTTCATGGACTGGGAAGTGGTACTGCGATACTGGCGGAAATCCGAGTACATATCCGAGAACTCTTGTACCTGCAGGGAATAGCGTGCAGGGAATAGCGTGCAGGGAATAGCGTGCAGGGAATAGCGTGCAGGGAATAGCGTGCAGGGAGTAGCGTACAGGGAATAGCGTGCAGGGAATAGCGTGCAGGGAATAGCGTGCAGGGAGTAGCGTACAGGGAGTGTGCAGTGTACTTGAAGTAGATGAAATGCTGAACATCCTACACCAGTATACAGTCATGCATGTAGCCTTTCTTGTCATGTTGATAACCAGTCATGGTATACTAATTATAGACAAATCCAGTTTATTGCCATGGTTGAACTCATGCATACTATGCAACACAACGAATGGCCTTTCGCTCCATCATCCATTGTTCTATGATCTTAAAAAGGGCTCAGGCTTCCTGCAGCTTCACCTCGGAAAGGAATTCGGGTGGACACACCCATTCCCATAGCGATGCACATTCGAACCTTGTAAGATAACGGAACTGGTTTGGTTGTGGAGCGCTATGGGAATGGGTGTGTCCACCCAAGTTCCTTTCTATGATCTTGCTACCGAATTGCAGAACACGTGGCTCTGGTAATTGCGAAAAGCTGCCCTATCCGTAGTGTGTGTCCAACACTGACAGATATAAGTAAGATGTTGTGCAGTCAGAAGGTGCAACAGCTAGCATAATACTCACTGATGTGATACTGACATTCAACCACCTGATGGATAACATGGACAACACGTTACATTTTGGTCCTTTCTTTTAAATTAAATTTCTTTTAAATTTCATCCTTGGCCCTCCAGCTGAGTCTAAAACTAAGATTAGACGAACAAAAAGGTTTTTGCCATAAAAATACTCACGATAACACTCATAGGAGGGTCACTGGTTCTGTTCTGTGGTCCATAATTTCTGCATGACTTTTAAATGAAAAAATATACTGGCCAACAACCCTTGCTCAAAATCAGATTACTAGTACACGGGGGTAGGCCTTTGCGGATAATGCCGGCAGAAAAATTGGCAGAATTCGGTACTTTTTCTGGTAAGTTTCATGCATGTTTGGTATGTGGATAAAGAGATGGAGCAGAATTCGAGGAATTGCCCGCCATAAGGTGTGTATGGTTCTGCCAATTTCACTGCTTTTCGAGCAGAATCTGCCACCTTTTCGAGCATTATCCGCCAATGCCTGGGGGGGGGGGGGGGGAGTGAAGTACTGACGTGACTAAGTTTCAGCGGGATGGTGAGGACATTGTCCGGAATGAGAAAATTGCCGTCCGGTGTGACCCGACAGGTGTTGTAAGACATATCGGCAAAAAGGTTGAATTTTTGCCATAAAAATAGTCACGATATCACTCATAGGAGGGTCACAGGTTCTGTTCTGTGGTCCATAATTCCTGCATGACTTTTAAATGAAAAAATATACTGGCCAACAACCCTTGCTCAAAATCAGAATACTAGTACACGGGGGGGGGGGGGTAGGCCTTTGCGGATAATGCCGGCAGAAAAATTGGCAGAATTCGGTACTTTTTCTGGTAAGTTTCATGCATGTTTGGCATGTGGATAAAGAAGTGGAGCAGAATTCGAGGAATTGCCCGCCATAACTTAAGGTTTGTATGGTTCTGCCAATTTCACTGCTTTTCGAGCAGAATCTGCCACCTTTTCGAGCATTATCCGCCAATGCCTGGGAGGGGGGGGGGGGGGGTGAAGTACTGACCTGACTAAGTTTCAGCGGGATAGTGAGGACATTGTCCGGAATGAGAAAATTGCCGTCCGGTGTGACCCGACAGGTGTTGTAAGACATATCGGCAACGTATCCCATGTTCTTATTGTTAAGATTATCCCAGCCGGTTCCGGGCAGCGCTTCTAGACGCATGCTCACACCTTTAGTTCAGGATAAAGACACAAAGTTGGACTGTGAGAGTTAGACAAAGGTCTCTACAATGTGACTTGGAATGTTATTTGCACATGAATTCTTGCCGAGTGTTGACATGCACGCACAGTAACACTTTCTTGGTTTAATGGCTTCAATGTCTTCCTCCATGCAGCTTAAATATGCTCTCATTCAAAGTTTGGACTTTCAAAACGATTTCCTTGCTGTATGCAGCTGAAGTCAATAGTTGTATAGCTACAAATGCCTATGATCTCAGTGCCATGGCGCCAGCACTTCAGATACACATCAGTGAACTGCATGTGGCGGCGCATGCTTCGTCTTAATACCCACATTCTTTATTTTGCGCTGCATATTATTATTTCGTTGGCTCGTTAATTCGCAGATTTCATCGCTCCGCAGGTACCCTCAACCTCAGTTACTCCAGTCTTTGTGCAATTGTTAGTTTTGTTGCTGAACTGTCCTCCCTGTTACTTTGCTACCTTCCTCCTCCTTCCTACACCCGATTTCTTTAACTCCTTTATCACATTCACTTCCATGTAATTGGGCCTGTAGCCCGTGTGTACTTGCGAAGTCAAATAGAAATATACATACATGAACATACATAATATACATACATGGAAATTTTTATTTTCATTGCTACAGTATCAGGTTCGGCCTCATTTCCTCTGTGCTGCGCTGATGAGTTCACAAAGAACGAAACAGCATGCTGTCCGCAGATTGAGTACATGTACATACCCCAACTCAAATCTGTGGACAGCAACTGTTTCGCTCTGTTAGAGCTCCTCAGCACAGCTCAGAGGACCGAAGCGCAGCTCTTCGCAACGAAATACGTTTCCGTGAAGCAAAGCATTTTTATAAAGAGCTGCAATCTGCAATCTGCAATCTGCAATCTACATACCTGTTGCTTCAGCACACACCATCCAGTCTGGCTTCACGGGCAAGTTGGCTGTGTTGATCCTGCTTGGCACACTCCCAGCAGCTGCCCCTGTACCAGCTGTCTGCTCTACTGATGATTGCTCTTGGGAGTGTTCGCCTGTCACCACAGAGGCGCCTAGCACAGCCATTGATAGTAGGTATGTGATCCTGAAGGGGCCGGCTGCCATGACGCTGGTTCTGTGTTGTTTGCTAACATATAAATAATTATGAACGTTATCGAAAGGGAGAAATTAGAAAGAGGACATTTTTGAGATTGGACTTGGTTAGATGTACAGTCATATTTTTACATTCGCAACAAAAGCGGTCACTGTAGGCTGCAGCGCTGGCTGGCAAGGACAGTACTTTCAGCTTGCCGGTGGCAAATACATGAACTGATTATACCCACGTACTGTCCATCCATACATGGCCGTTACGTGCAGGTCCTAGCAGAATATTTTACAGCCTTGAAATGAGAAGCACACCTCGATTGCCGTGATCATGTGTGCACGGTCCGTTCACGACATACCTTTCTAATCGATGCCCTCTCCTGCAGTCCTGGTTTGGCTTTTGTCTTCAGCACATAGACAGAGAGCAGAAGTCAAGATCGAATTGCGGGCAGGCTTGGTCGGCGAGGAAGAATGATAGTGGTGGTGGTCCGAGGCCAGAAGACGGCAGACGCGATGGTTCTGGTCCAGATAGAAACGTTTGATCCACTTTATGTCCAGTGTTGCGTCCTTCAGCGGATCGGACTTGTGTAAACGGGCCAGCTGGAGTCGTTCAGCACCCACTGGCCCAGGCCTGAGGCTGAGGTCCGCCGCATTGTGCGTCTCAACGATCCCATGCTATATCCGAAGGTCGGGCCGTATAGCAAACAGAGAAAAGGCTAAATAATTAATTAGAGACGGAAAGTCAGCTTGTCAACTCACTGTGTCCTCAGTCTTTCTCGGACCGGCTGGATGCAGGATATCCTCAGATAGGATGTGCATTCAGAACAGCCATCTGGTTTTTGGACCCGTAGACTGCGCATTCCCGAGGAAAACATCTAACCAAGCTTTGCAACACGACTTGGCACTTTATGTCGTGACGTCAACGCAAAGCCACATCCTTTCCCATCCGAGCACGTGAACGCAGGGGCATTATACCGCTGTAGCGCATGGTGAAGGCTTGAAACCGAAAATATTACGGCGTCCTTGACATAATTTTTTTAATCAAATGACAGGTACGTAGATCTAACAAGATGTCAGGAGTCAAGACTCCGACAACAGAAGCCCTGGGGTAAAACTGGAGCACGGAATGTCATGCATTGCACCAGTCCACATCGAGCTTGGCAAACAACAACAATAGTCAATAGTTTCAAGTGAAACAGCAAGGTATGGTATGTGCACCATGCATCTACCCACCGATCAACATGAGCCTCCCGCCACGGTGGCGGTTTCTGAGGCAGCTATTGTTGTCACAATGTGTAGTAACGTTTTTAAAGATTTTTATTATCCAAGTGTGCCTGCGCAGGTTTTGTGGCTGGTTTTCATCGGGTTCTCAACACTGTTTGTATTGTACTGAAAAATGAAACAGCTGTACAGTATCTCCGACCTTGTGATGTGTTGTGATCAGCTGACATGCAGCATTACGCCAATATACCATCGGGACTTTACACGACATTCTCCACTGTTTTCGTCGACAAACCCACTCTGAGGCTGCGAACCATGTACCCATTGTGTCAAGAGTAATAGGCGATTCAGACTGAGGCCAAAGTCACGTGTAAACTTCAATTTCCATGGTGATGCAGTCGTGTTTCAAATTCTATGCGCAATCCCTGATCAAATAAGTCTGAGTCGTAGAAACGTGGTCACAGTCACTGTTGGCCGTAGTCTAAATCGCCTATAAAGAAGCTCCCTGTGTACTCTTGACTGTACAGAGTTCGTTCTGGTGGAGACTGTCGGTGTACATGTAGACTGCTGGCTAGAAGGTGTGCTGATGATAAACCACACAAGCAGGTGTTGGCCGCGATGTCAGACTGTCTAATCAACTACTTCTGCGTGCAGCAGTATGGACTATGCAATCATTCGGGGGTTCAGCCCCTTACACTAAGTTATAGCCTGGTCCCTGATACGGCTGTGATCGCTCTCAGCTCAGTCCGATTTCCTAGTCCTTGATTTGTGACACATACTAGTAGGTGACTGGTGAATGGTGAATAGACATGATTCTACAGACCGCCTTACGGCTACCTGCATGGCGGTCTGGGACCGTCCACGAATCTCTCATCAGAGCGGATGTGCTTCAACAACAGTGAGCAGGGGACAACAAAGTACACATTCCTCACAATCTTCAGACTTGACTGGTAGGTAGTAGACAGACGGAGAGCGAGGGAGAGAGAGAGAGAGAGAGAGAGAGAGAGAGAGAGAGAGAGAGAGAGAGAGAGAGAGAGAGAGAGAGAGAGAGAGAGCGTGTGTGTGTGTGTGTGTGTGTGTGTGTGTGTGTGTGTGTGTGTGTGTGTGTGTGTGTGTGTGTGTGTGTGTGTGTGTGTGTGTGTGTGTGTGTGTCCCATATGGTGCAGTGGTATGTGCAGCGATTTCTAATCGATAGGGTGCGGGTTCAATTCCCGACGATTATGGTCATACGCGTCTTTCTTCTCTTTCTCAGACTCTTTCTGACTTTTCTTTCATTCTCCTGGGTGGTTACCAACAGCCAGTGCATGCCGAGTGTGTGGTGTGATGTATGTGCGGGAAAAAAATAAAAAAGACCAAAAAGTAGGGATTCACTGGCCAGAAAAAGCCACTTCATAGCTGTGTGGTGTAGACCAGGCTGAATAGTGGCGGCCAATTCTTCAGCCTGGCAAGCTGTTGAATCCCAGCACAAGTTGCTATGGCTTCAGCTGTAGCATCGCTATCATCGCCTCCGGCGATGGGCGTCCAATGGTCCAATGGTGTGTGTGTGTGTGTGTGTGTGTGTGTGTGTGTGTGTGTGTGTGTGTGTGTGTGTGTGTGTGTGTGTGTGTGTGTGTGTGTGTGTGTGTGTGTGTGTGTGTACCAGCTAGTTCGGTTGGTGGGTACACTTATGCCAGATAGTGTTGGGCCTGTTGCCAACGGGCTCGGCTGCTTGAAGGTGTATTGTTGTACCTACCACCTTTGTTGGTTTCACGGTTCATATACTTTCCATTTGAAGTATACATACCTGTTAACCATGGACTGCTTCTGGCTAGATTAAGTTAACTCTTGTGTAATCAATGGTGCTAGTGAAGCTTATATCAGATCCACTCTGATTTAGCCACCCACTCTAGTACCAAGTATTACCTTCACTGGGGGCAGGGGTAACTGCAGTTGGATACCGGGACGACGGATACCCTGATGCCGTCAATCCTTTTTCTGCACCTTGTCCTCACCCACTTACTGAGGTGTGGTGAGCCCATAAGTGGGATCATTTCAAGTCCACCCTAGTTCGGGGATTTCAGGGGGTGTCGGCCGTTGGGTGGTTCAATGGCCAATTGAGTCATCTTTCCAAGATTCCTTTTGCGTCTCTCTCCCCTCTCTCGGGGAGATCCACGTGACCAGTTTTGGCAGTGTGCAAGTACAAGTACAAGTACAAGTGTGTGTGTGTGTGTGTGTGTGTGTGTGTGTGTGTGTGTGTGTGTGTGTGTGTGTGTGTGTGTGTGTGTGTGTGTGTGTGAGAGAGAGAGGGGGAGAGAGAGAGAGAGGGGGGGGGGGAGAGAGAGAGAGAGAGAGAGAGAGAGAGAGAGAGAGAGAGAGAGAGAGAGAGAGAGGGAGAGAAAAAGAGAGAGATAGCAGACACCTGGCATTGAATGAGCCATTCTCGTCTCCGGGCAATACACGTGCAGTCAAAAGATATACTTCAGAAGTACATGTAGAGCGACGGGTAAGTAGGTATATATACTGTGAGTGTTGTCTGAACTCGGAGAGCGTTAGAAGGTAAGTTTAGAATTATTGAGCAGTGCTCTCGGAGCACAACGTTCATTAGCAGTCACACGCTCGACTGATGAGGGGCGGATTCTCCGAAACATTATGCCAGTTATTCCTGTAACTAACATTAGTAACATCCAGCCACTGGGCAGTTGGGGCCAAAGCAACGGTCTCTCAGTGGCAGGTGGTCTTTGGTTGGAGGTTTGAACCACTTGACCATACAGTAGTACTGATGGATCTTTAGTTGCTTGCATAACGCAGTGTAACTATATCAACGTGTGGTTATGCTATTTCCACTTTTGTTTTGTTCTGTTTGCTTTCATCACAGCTGAACAGGCCAGGATGCTTGAATGTAAACAACCTTTGTTCCGACGCATGCTGTAAGGATGTTGTAAGGCTGTACTTGCGCATGTTCAACTTGTAATGTTCCTAACAACCACATGACACATGTATGTACTCAATCTGCGGACAGAACTGTGCCGTCCTTTGTGGACTCATCAGCGTCGCACATCGGAAATGAGGCCGAACCTGATTATTATAATATTATTATTATTTTTGCTTGTTCGCGTTGGCATCAACCTGCATAAAGCAGGTATATAGCCTTCGCTTAAGCTGCCATAAAAAAGAAAGCTCATCCTAAGCGAGAGGGCTAGAGGGAAATATAACGATAACGAGATACAGAATACAAAGAAATCCAATGAGTTCAACATACAATTCAAAACAAGAAAGAAAGGAAAGAAAGTCGAATCTACCGATTGATCCATCAATCGACAAACGAACCTGATAGCAATGAAAATTATATTTTCCAAGGCCAGATTTAAACCAGGCCCGGACGTACTTTGCCAGAGTACTCAAACTGACAAGTCAGCGACCTCTGCATAACACAATCATGTACATGTATGTACATGACGGTACATGTGCTCAATCTCCTGTCCCGGACACCTAGCGTTTTCGACCTACACCGCCTGTGCCTTCGAAACAACACCCTCAGCTGAGGAACCCTGCATGTAGTTTTTATCCCAAGATGTTGTTGTTGTTTTTTATTTGAATTCGCAATACCAAACGGGCAATAACTTTGCCAATATTAAAGCCCAATTACATGGAAGCGAATAAAAGAATGCTAAGAATGAGGCACTGGGGTGGATATTATTTCAAGTGGAAAAATACTGATCCCGGGAGGTACTACAAATAGGTACATGTAGAATGAAAATCTGAAAAGGCCATGGTACTGTCAGATGGTAGTCGAATAGGAACACTTTCCTTTCCTCATGCCTGCATGATTGAGGGTCGGTACACTCAAGGTTGACTGTGTTGTGCAATATGTGCCCTGACGGCTAGGTACTAAACTAAAGCAACATTTACTGTGAACGTAACAAGACTCCATGCTGCGTTTCAACTAACTATGTATCATATGAACTAAGATGTTGCGAAATCGGCAGTGAACGTGTCTGCTCGAGCTCCAGGACCAAACGTTGGAGCTCGCGCTTCTTGCCGACTGGGACACTTGATCTTGACTCACTCACGACTGCGTCTGGAGCACACGAGAAGCCGTCGAACCTTCCACTCAGCCACTTTTACTTTTTCCTTCTGCTGCTTCTCCTCCGTGATGTGCTAGTTGCGCCTTTTCTCTCTCTCTGTCATACTAGGTGACATAATTCGCATCTTTTTTGGCGCTACACTCTTTTTTTTTATTTTTTTTATTTTACAACGTTTCGGCACTTGGCCATCATCAGGTAATAACAATGAATACCGTGGAAGCCACACAAGAGCAGTATATACGCAGAGTGTAGCGCCAAAAAAGATGCGAATTATGTCACCTAGTATGACAGAGAGAGAGAAAAGGCGCAACTAGCACATCACGGAGGAGAAGCAGCAGAAGGAAAAAGTAAAATAACGGAACTGGTTCGGATGTGATATGCAGCGCTATGGGAATGGGTGTGTCCACCCGAATTCTT